AAATTACTTAATTGAAGCTTGGAAACGTCTCAGTTTGTACTCGTTGATCTGCGCAACAGTCAAAGTCGCCATCTTTGTTTATATGAGACCCATTTGTCTCGCACATGCGTAGTGTGACGACTACCGCGCTTTAATATTTCATTTTAGGTTTATTTTTATTCAGAAAGGGTATTGCAATAATATCATGTATGTGCAATTATGAATGTTTCTACACCATCTTTTATTTTGAATAAAAAAAAAAGTGTGATGATTTGCAACCAGAGTGCGCTGTACATCATGCCTGTTCCATGTGCAACCAATCTAAAGATGGTCAGGAAATTCTTTTCTGTGTGTTTGTAGCTATTCAATTGCTACATGTTCAATTTCTTTCAGGTATACTGCCAAGCCTTTAGTAGAGACTATTTTTGACCGTGGTATGGCTACTTGTTTTGCATACGGACAAACTGGCAGTGGAAAGACTCATGTGAGTGATGCTACTTTCTGTAATTTATCATCACCAAAAAGCCTGATTGGCCTGTTTATCACAGGTTGAAATTTGATTTAGAACTTTCCTTCTTGTTGTATTTAGTGATTTGTTTTCTTTGAGAGTCAAAAATTAGCTTAAAACAGAAGCTGTGATTGTCTTTATAACACCTGTAAAATTTCAATACATGAAACAAGTTTTTTGCTTTAAATGAAACAGCCTTATTCGGTTTGCATGATATAAACGGAAAATCAAGGCAAACAACATAATGACCCCTCAAGAAAATCTCCATAAATGTAGGAGAATGCAATTTACATTTTTTTTTATATCACTTTTCATCAGTATTATGTATTCAACCATCTTGATTCTCAAGCAAAGGATATGGGTAAAGTATGACATAGAATCTGTTGTCAGAAATTGAGAAAATGATTTTATCTATAACATGAGAAATACTGATGTGAATTAGTTCAAATTGTAGTTATGCATATTACTCATGTATATAATTATAGTAATGGAAATTAGAATTTTACAAATATACATAAAGTGAAGATATTTCCAAAAACGTTAAATAAATAAAAAATAAAAATCTTTATTTTAGTCGTAAAATATAGAATGACACTTTTTTGTCCCTTTTTTCTGGACAACGGGGAATATATCACCTATATAACCCACCCACATCGGTAAATTGTATACAATATAAGAAAATTTGAGCATTTGGTAGACAAACATAAAAATAAATATTTTCAGTTCTGTTTCTATGACAGCTGTTTTATAAAGCATGTTTGGCACCAGTACATGTATGCTACCATGTTCTAAACTTTCAGCCAATTTGAAGTTATAGATCATTTTCTCAATTTCTGACAACAGATCTTATGTCATACTTTACCCATAATCCTTTGCTGAAGAATCAAGATGGCGGACTACATAAATTGATGAAAGGTTTAATATTTAGAGAATGAAAAGTGATATAAAAAAACTTTAAATTGTATGTCCTTACATTTGCCAAGCTCTTTCTCCTGGGAGTATTATGTTAGCCTTGACTTTCCTTTTAATTCACATTTTACTCTGTACTACATACAGACAATGGGTGGTGACTTTGCAGCAAGAGGACAACAGGACTGCTCTAAGGGTATCTATGCACTGGCTGCCAGGGATGTATTTAAATTTATGTCAAGACCAGAGTTCAACAAGGACATCATAGTGTGTTGTAGCTTCTTTGAAATTTACAGTGGCAAGGTAAAGATAATTTCTGAAGATTTTACTGACTATGTAGTGAAATATTTGATTACCTGAATGCATGTTTGTATTGAAAGTTTTCAGTGCATCCAAATGTCAACAATCATTTTAGCTTCCTATTTCATTATTCATTTTTTCTAGGTTTTTGATCTGTTGAATAAAAAAATCAAATTACGTGTACTAGAGGATGGAAAGCAACAAGTCCAAGTTGTTGGTTTACAAGAAGCTCAAGTTCACAATGTTGATGATGTTTTAAGTTTAATCCAACATGGTAACGCGGTCAGGTACTGCAACAACTTTCTTGTTTTGTGGATAAAATATATAAATATATTAATCTTGTAATTGGTATTGCTGTCAGAAATTAGATAAATTTATCACTTTTATAAAATTCCTCGTTGTGAATCTGATCAATTTATCTGATTTCTTGTTGTATTTTTTGTTTTACTAACAGTAAATAAGGATTGAACAGGGTGTATTTCAAACTTTTGCATAAAAACTCACAGAAAATAAAATTAGTTTGGCTGTTGCTGCAGGAAAATTCCATCTGATTTGTGTTTACTATTAGTCCTGGGCATATGTGTATGCAATAGTTGTACATTACAAAAATAGTCTAAGATATGGGTTGTCAGTGGCTCATTCTCTTTTCTGCACTATATAATTGTAAATCATAGTACCGGTATATTTAATCAATGCATTTAATATTTATAGGACATCTGGCCAGACATCAGCGAATCAACATTCTTCAAGATCCCATGCAGTCTTCCAGATTATTTTGAGGAAGAAAATCTCTAAGAAACTTCATGGCAAATTTTCCCTGATTGATTTAGCAGGCAAGTATTCCCTTTAGCACTCATTGTTGAGTACCATATTTAACTGACTTTAGCACACATACAAAATAATTCAACACCCTATATTTGTATCCAAACTGATTAACAAATATGTTATGCTGAATGGTCTTGTATGATGTAAGAGACTGTTGACTTGAAGATTTCTTCTACAAGTATTTATGTCATTCCACATATAGGTAATGAGCGAGGTAAAGACACCCACAGTGCTAACAGACAGACAAGAATGGAAGGAGCTGAAATCAATAAAAGTCTGCTGGCTTTGAAAGAGTGTATACGGTCACTAGGAAACAAAGGAGCCCATGTGCCTTTTAGAGCTAGCAAACTAACCCAAGTTTTGAGGGACTCATTTATAGGAGATAAAGCAAAGACTTGTATGGTACGTTATGTAGTAGCTTGCATTCCTCTTATGTGAAACAGGTACTCTATAAACTTTGATTAAAACTATTGTCCAAATTTGGAGCACTTGTGATTGAGTTTTGATTTTCCTTGTAGATTGCCACCATTTCACCAGGAATGCAGTCTTGTGAACAC